GGTTTCGTGCGTTTCGTTGGAGAACTCTAACTACCGGCCGACCGTAAAGGTCGTCGTTGCGTTTCTCTCTTCCCCTTTTTCTTGCTTCTTTTTCCTGTCCGCGCGCCCGTCTTCCGTCGAGTCGTCGCGTCCTTTACCGGCCAACCAGCCCAGCTGTGGCAGCAACGTTAGCGCTGCTGGGATTCAGTGCGTCGTGCACTCTTGTCCACGAGGTGCACGAGGTTAGTTCCGCGGTTGCTTCATTTTTCTTCGCTTGGAACAACCGAGATTTCCAGTTCGGAACTCCATCTTAGTCGAAATTGTTGCGATAAGATCGTTCTCAGTGTTACCACCAGGCGGCTGGCGGTTGGAATACGAGGATTTGTAGTTGCAAGAGAGAGCGACCAGGCGGTATGTCTCGAGGACAAGATCGGAGAGGAAAGGTGGAATGGCGAAGGAGAGAAACGGAAACACGGTTCTCTGAAAAATGTGTCATTTTCCGTCTTCCTCCAAGGAAATTTAAAGGGACCGCGAAGGATGTGTTGTCGGGAGGGGGGCAGGACCGTGTGCCGGGGCGGTGAAGGTGAGAGGGCAGTTAAAGGATGAAATAGAGTGGGAAGGAAGGGGCGACGGGGAAATCGAGTCTGGTTCCTTGTATCCCGTTTGAGCCCTGTGCCATTAGTTGACCATGAAGAGTATTACGTATCTCTTGATCCGCAGAACCAGCTGACACGTACCCACTCGACCAAGTGAAAATTTTTGTTTTTATCACCAGTGAAACACCACACGCAGTGCATCCGTTGTTGTCAAAATTGTACAACCTTTCTGAAAACAGCAACCTCCTCGCAGTAATCACCCTCCTCGATTTGGCGAAGAAAAAGGAGGACCGCTGTGCTCCGGGGCAATGAAAAAAGCTGCTTAATTGCGAAAAGACGGGGTGGATGTTTTTAACGAGTCTTTATTAATACCGGTTCCTTCCCCGGACCACGTTAAGTCCAATTAGCTGACACAAAAGCAGAAAAATCCTCGTCTCGGCGATCTTTCTTATTAGTACCTCACAAAGGGAGCGCAACCTCCGTCGATTCGGTATTTAAAGAAACATACGTACCATGAAGTGGAGGAAAAAAGAGAGAGAATAGAAAGGAAAGGGAAAAAGCATTGTGAGAGAAAGAAAGAAGACGAAGATTTCTCAGAATACGTGTATATGTGTGTACGAGTATATCTATCTGACGGTTCGCCAGGACCAGCCAGCGAAAACCACCCCTCTTGCCCTTTTCGCGAGAGAAACGAAAACAGTGGGAGCTAGAGTGCGACAGGTGGAGAAGAAGGGCAAGGGGCGGGGGTAGGTGGAAGGCTGAGGGCATTTCGGGGTAGCGAAGGAGAAGGAAGGAGGTGGTGGCTAGTCGTGTGGCCATGCGAGGACAGAAGAGCGACGGAGAGGGATGTCGGTAGCGCGCGGCGGTGGTGGCTTGGCCGCGGGAGGGGTCGGCCGTTATTCGGCGTGGGAGGGGAAGGGTTAGAGGGTGAGAGTTGGCGGCGGAGTGGGGGGATAGAGGCAGGTTCCGTGCGTTTCGTTGGAGAACTCGTACCACTGGGCGACCGTAAAGGTCGTCGTTGCTCTCTCTCCATCGGCACATAGAAGTCGAGCAGCTAGCAGCAACGTCAGCAACGAGGAACGGATCAGTCCACCGTGTGCCAGCCTCGAGGTCCGTGTCTCTCTCTCACTCTCTCTCACTCTCTCTCACTCTCTCTGGATCCTTTGATCATCGTTCGCGGTGTGGAGAGCGAACAGTATACCGCTTCGAATAGTATACGTACGATTATCGATACGATCGAATTTCCACGAATTTTTTCTCTCTCCCTCTCTCGCTCTTTCTCTCTCGCTCTTCGTTTCCGTATCGGTGTCGAGTAGCTAGTTGAAGTTGCGTCCGACGAGGAAGATGAAACGAAAGGATTTCAACGGAAAGCACGCGCAGCGTTGTTCGAGAATTGGACAGTTAAAGGATGTTACGCGATTGGATCTCACGAATGATATAGAATTGCATATGACACGGAGTCGGGAGAAGAAGGAAGGATATAAAAGAGATCAGCTGGCCAAGCGACGTCGGGGTCGCCGTACATGCGATCACGGAATTACCGTCGACCATCTGCTGCGGCGATTACCGTGAGTAATTGGTGGAAGTTAGACTCCTAGAATCGATCATGTAGACGAGGAATGTCCGCTTTCCTTTCGACCTCTCTTGTTCTGACCCACCGCTGATGAATCTTCGTCTCAGCTCATACGAAGCTCGCTGCGACATTATAATAGAAACCGACCTCGGTTTTCTCCGATGGCGATGACTCCTCGATCACGTTAGGAACCAATCACGTACGACTTAGATATAACACGCATACTCGCATCGCTGCTGCCTTAAGAACTCTCTCGCAGTATCCACGCTCTGCTTTTTAACCGTCGGGCTATTTCATCCCGTGTATCACTCGCAGCCATTGGTTCCCTTTGATCATCTTCTGGAAAGGCGTTGCACAACCGGAAATGCGAATTAAGCGCGTAAATACGAACCGTGCCGCCGGTGACGAGTATTTGCCTTGCATTGTCTCTCCCCACGTTTTCGCTCCCTTTTCGTCGTCCATTCGTGTTTCTCCGCGATTTCACCACAATTTCGCCACGTCCTCGATCACCAGAGATTCAACCTGGCAAAATCGTTGGATCCCTCCGTCGAATTTTTTGATTCATTAATTCGATTAATTCTCCGCGCAGGCTCGTTATCGCGAGATGACCGTTTATCAATGAGTATTAATACGAATTGGACTTTGATTTCGCGTGTCGTACACGTACGTACAGGTGTATATAAATTCGCTGTACGAGAAAGGGATATTTTACGTATACTTTTTTAGTCAGATTTTTAAAAAGGATTTCTCAGTGTAAGGGAAAAGAAACTAATTCGAGTTTTCGATAAGGTTTATGTCGCCTCGCTGTACGCGATACGGCTGGAGCTACGTTTCAGTGAAAGAATCGGTGAATATGGAACTTTGCACGCTCCACACGTATCGCGTTTTTACGTAGGAATAACGAGAATAATTGCGCGAGCCAGCCTATCGTCGAACGTTTACGGGCCTGCCGACGAATCGGATCGAAGCAGTGCGTGCATAATACTACGTACTTAAAATGTACACTGAGTCACGTCGACGAAAGACATTTCATTAATTCACGCAAATCCGATGTGAACAATGAGATACATACAAATTAGGCTCGTCCCTGAACGATTTCCCGGACGGAGAATTATCGATGGTCGAATACCGTTTACCAGCAACAAAATAATAACCTCAAAACTCCAAGAAATATTATCTAAAACGTTACCAAAATTATCACCACGGATTAAAAAAAATTCAATTTTAAATAAGTCGAAGTATTTTAATATCTCGTGTAAAAATTATTCTCAGGTTGGAGAAGCGCTTCGCGTCCATAAAATGATCCCAACAACAGGAGGGTTTGATGTTTCCTAACCTTAAATTAACCCTAACCCTAAACTCGAAGTATTTAATATCTCGTGTAAAAATTGTTCTCGTGTTTAAGAAGTTTCGCGTCCGCAAAATGATCCCGACAATACGAAGGTTTGATGTTTCCTAACCTTAAATCGACTCGTTTGAGACGTTCCAGTTTCATTTTCCCGCGATGCAGTTTCATTTCTGTGGAAGTCTGTCATTTCATGCCCCACCGCTGAATTATACTATCGTATTACCGTCCTCTGTTCCCGGTCGCGTTCCACGGACCGCGTCCAACGCGTGTAATCCAAGAGAAACGCCACTCGAGGCCCCGGACTGCGAAGGAGTCCGGAGGCGCGTTTGAATTTGCCGCGTCGCGCGGACGGGTCCATTGCGATCCACGGCGCGCCGCTACGGCCGCGATCTGATTGGCCCGTTCCATGCGGCGAGTACAATGGCGTAGAAAAAGACGGGGTGCTCGTGCAAGGACGAATTATGTAATTGGAACGAGACACAGTCGCTAATAACGAAATCATTGTTCGGGCACGACGGGAAATCGGTCCAAATATAATCCCGCCGACCATAAATGAGATATCGCAGGTGTGTATTTTCAAGGACACCCTGTTCGCCAATCATGTATCTCGGAATAAAATTCCAGATCCACGCTCGACTCTCGAAACTCCCGAAATTTTTTATCAATTCACACCTAACCTCAAATTAGCAATTCGAACTTCGTCTATTGGAAACGGGATTTATTCTCTGTCGAGACGCGAAGTATGACGCGAGTTAAAAACATCAGGGATAGAAGTGTGAGATTCTCGAACTGGGTAAAAAGAGGTTATGTACGAAGGAGAAGTTTCGAGTGGATGAATAAAAAGAGAAAGTGCACAGACCGAGCAGGAGGATAAAAGTACGAGTTTTCTGCTGGCCAATTACCACCAGCTTTACGTACACGAGAACGCAGTCAGTGCACGTGTTAGCTAAACGGTGCGCGCGCGCGCACGGGCACACGTATTGGTTACGTGTTCTCTCTAACGAACGTTCGAACCCTGCGTGTCGCCTATATATGGGTGAGTTTCGCGAGTGTTGGCTCGACGATAAATTCGTATCGTGAATCAAATGCGATTGGCTGGCTGACAGTGACGTCAAGCCGGTGGGCAGCCGTCAAGTGGCACGACTGCGTCGCGTTCGCCGGAGATCTGTAAAAAAAAAAAAATTCGTTTCCTTTTTTCCCCTGATATGTCTCTCTTTCTCTCTCTTATTTTCTCATCGTTCATAGTCGAATCCTTCGACCACCATGACACAACGACGACGAATTTGCCGAAGACCATGAGTCATGTATAGATGACGCGCACGTCACGTGACGGCTTAGTTCTTTTTTTCGCGTAACACGTACATAACACGTTGCCTCCGGTTAGAATTAATCGGATTTCGCCTCTACCTTGCATACATGGTCGATGTTTGCATGTATACTAATTATGCGTGTATGTGTACGTGGGTGTAAAACGGGTGTCTAACGATGACGACTTTCTCCGTTGCTTTTTCCGGTTCCCTTGGCTGCCCCACGATCGATCACGCGATGGCTGGTTGCAGTGAGCAGGCTCCACTGCGAATCCGAGTCCTTCAAAATGGACTTGATCCTGGACATCAACAGCTGGCTCTACCCCATGGAACTCGGTGAGTGTCTTCCGACTACTTTCATTTCTAAGGTCAAGGAATATAGAGAGAATTAAATCAATGGTGACTTGGGGTATTATATAGTTCCTTTTCGAGACTTTAACATAAATCATTTGCATCGTACGAAATTAGGAAAAGTATACCCTTGTTGACGATTGTCCTACCCTGCAATGGCGAGTCCGACTCTTTTCACGCGACCATAATTATATTTAACGCGTTTTAAGGTACATAAAGTTTCAAGAATTTCTAAAATTTTCACCTAATTTCATGTATGTATGATTAACTAAAATTAAGTGCTACGTCACTGTATGATTTTTCATAATTAAATCGCAGTGTAAAGGATTAAATTAAATTTGCAAATTTTGTTTGGAGCAGCACCAAAAATTTAATATTTCAGCGATCCGTGGAGGTTCCTCGATTACTATGTAATAAAAATTCGTACTCTGTAATGAAGGAAAATAATTAATAATTCTAATGTAAATCCGCGTGTCATGCGTCAATGATGCAATTGATGTAAATGATTTAAAATAAATTCCATAATTCATTTTATTTCTTGTTTGACAATTTTTTTTCGGTGATCTATTCGTGTCCAAAAAATTCTCCTATGCTTAAAAATATTTTCAACGTGAAGCTGGTCCAGGTTCCATGTTTGGATTTAATTCGTTTATAAAATGTTACGTTAAAGATAGAATTTCATTGGGTTGGAATTATCGCTCGACAGCATAGTCGAAAGGGAAAAATAATTAGACGTCTGTTGGCGAAGGGATAACTCGGATCGCATGAAAATTCTGTTTGCCATAGCATAGAGACGCTGTCAAGAGCCCTAGGTGTTTGTTTACATCGCGCGCGGCTCGCAACTTTGCGTGCGCGCACTTGTTCGATACAGTCACGGTCTGCAAATGTTGCGAGATAAACGCCGAGTTTGCCGTCTCATTTAATTCGACGTAGTGTCTAAAAATTTCATCATTCTGTATATAATATGTTATCACGGCTCGATACGGTATCAAACAATTGTATTAAATATAGTGCTAAACATAATATTAAAAATTAGTATCTAATATTAGAAACAGGATTATAATTTAAAATCGTATACTTAACTCGAAAACTAGACGATAGTAACTCGGAATAGAGAGACCTCGGTTTAATACGTCGTGGGTACTTTTTATCCTCCATTACGGAAGCACAGTACGCCCCTGATTTTGATCGAAACAGAAAAGGTATCGGTGAAAATGATCGCAATAGCCGCGAATATATAGACCAGATACTATCGAACGAATGATAAATGAACGAAGATAAAATCCATTTCATTGCTACACAAAACTGGTATTGTTCAACAATGCGCGTTATGCTTGTCTATTTTCATTCTGGTGACCAAACGCACGCAGAACGTCATGAATTTCGAAGCGTAGAACGAGATATATGCGCGCGCATATAAGTTCCCGAACGTGTGCGGTCCATTTGGCAGCTATGACGATATTTAGTAATTTCTATTTTCCTTCTTGAGCGGATCGCAAATTACCGTCGTTTCCCGGTTTCACGATGATGCCAGAACCATTGATGCACCTTGCATTTGCGAGCGCGTTAAACGTTCTTACCTGAATGATGTAGTAAAAATTAGAAAATAGACGATAACACGTGTCGCGACGTACGCGATCGATTCCCCAGAAGTCGATATAGATGGCGCGTCACCTTTAGTCTTTGGTAAACGCGACACGTGTTACGCGCTAATAGACACACGTGCTGCTCCAAGCCAGTCTTTTTATTCCCGAGACTCTTCTCGGTTAGACGTGCGAAGGACGACCTTGGCTAATGGACACTAGGGAAACGTGTTCCGCACAGCCTAAACCGCGCTGCCGCTTGGCCTACTGTGTACATCTCACTTTCAAGGTGACTTCCATCTCCTTTTTATGCCGACGGATCGTTTTCGTCTCGCGACATGATCGGACACGTGAATCGTTGGTTTTCGAACGTGAAAATCCGGTATATTTTCGTCTTGTTTTCAAAGAAACATAACCTCTATCTCTCGGGTGGTTTATTTCTTTGGCGTTGCTCTTTATTCTGTGAGAAATGCTACTTACATGCATCGACACCGCGAATGTACGAAACGGCGTTCGTATATCCACGTGTAAGTTGATGGCTAAAGGTCGTCCGCTTGGTTAGTGTTTGTACTACTGCTGTTCATTCGCGTAACAACTGTGTCATTAATGGAAGCAGAAGTACGGAGGAGAAAGACGTTTTTCGACTACTGAAGTGTTTTCCGTGTAGTGTATTGCAGATACTCGATGGTTGAATAGATAAAAAATTGGTTAATATTCGTAAAAATAAATAAATTTCTCTTAGATTAAGGTAGAACGGGCCGACAAAAAGATAGCATTGATGATAATGTATATTAGGTTTGTAAATGCGCCCAAGGCCACGTCACGCTGCAGCAAACCCCCAACCCCCCTCCATTCGAATATCGTCATTTTGACTCGCCTCACGGACAGTTCTGGATGTATCTCGTTGATTCGGGCGCTGCAGAGGGAGTGGGTGCGTCACACCCACTGGTAGCAGGGGTGGGAGAAAGAGGTGGGGTGCACCGCATCGTCGATCCACCCCTGCCTGCTCGTTGTGTTTACAGATTCATATCCTGTTTCCTTGCTACTTCTCTGAGAACGCTCTTTCCC